GGGGGGGGGGCTGGAGCACCTCCTTGTGAGGACAGGCTGAGAGAGTTGGGGGTGTTCAGCCTGGAGAAGAGAAGGCTCTGGGGAGACCTTAGAGCGGCCCCCCAGTACTTAAAGGGGCTACAGGAAAGGGGGGAGGGACTCTTTATTGGGGAGGCAGATAGGGATAGGATGTGGGGTAATAGTTTTAAACTGACAAAGGGTAGATTGAGATTAGATGTAAGGAAGAAATTCTTCCCTGTGAGATGCTGGCATAGGTTGCCCAGAGAAGCTGTGGCTGCCCCTTCCCTGGAAGGGTTCAAGGCCAGGTAGGACGGAGCTTTGGGCAACCTGGGCTGGTGGAAGGTGTCCCTGCCCATGGAAGGGGGGTGGGACTGGATGGGCTTTAAAGTCCTTTCCAACCCTAACAGGGTTATGATTCTATGAATTGTGCCAAATACCCATGTGCAGCTCAGGCCACGGGAGCCTTTTATCTGATGCCATAACCCTGGTCTGCGTTTAATCTTTGGAAAAGGGTGACACTGTGGCTCAGCCATCACATGATCACATGCCCACCGTGGCCCAACTTGCACCAGAAGGATGATCTCACTTCTCATCCACAGGAAAATCTGCAAGTCGTGCAAATGCAGCCAGGAGGATCACAGCCTCAGCTCAGACCTGGAGGATGATCGGAAAATTGGGCGCCTGCTGTCGGACTCCAAGTACGCCACTCTCACCGCCCGGGTGAAAGGGGGTGATGGCGTTCGCATTTACAAAAGGAACCGCATGATCATCACCAACCCCATCGTGTCTCGGAAAGACCCCACCTTTGACACCATCACATATGAGTGGGCTCCACCAGGGCTCACCCAGAAGCTGGTAAGATGATCCACAGCATGGTTGGCAGGTAGTTGTGTTGCTTAATGGAGAACATAACTCAGCTCTGGAATAAAGTTATCGGGGAAAAATAGTAAAATATATGGTTTGCCTCAGAGAGCAAAAAATGTACGTAACACTTTGTATTTTGGAAAACCACGTAAATAATCAGAGTAGGTAGGAGAGAGGAATGCCTTTGGGTTTTTATAGGTTTGCTTACATTTCTAGGAGAAATCTTGATGGGTTTTACAACTATAAAGCTTACTACTTGGGTAAAGCTCATGTCCAATAAAAACACTGCTGTGGAGACATCCCATCCCTGCTGTCCTGCCAGTTGTACCACGCCTGTGCAGCCCACACAGGCGTCTGCATGCTCCCAAACCCCAGGCTGGATGCAGGAGAAATTCCTGCAGGCCTTCTTAGGTCGGGGTGTTGGTCCTCTCCTTAAACACCCCCAGGAGAGCACCCAGGAGGCAGAATGCGCTGCAAACTGTGGGACACCCCCAGGACAAGTTAACTCCTGAGACTGCCTCCGTGCTTTTCAAACAAGGTGGGTCTGGGCTGGTCTTCTGGGAGAAACAGTGGAGACAAGCTGTTTGGGTAGTTTATCTGGGTAGGAGGCATTGTCCTGGGCTTTGACCTCCCTGTTGGAGAGGCTTGTTGAGTCTGATCTGCAAATCTGGGTGTGAGCCTGTCCCAGGACAAGCCAGTGCAGGTAGAGGGAGGTAGCTGGGACACTTCCCCTAACCTGGAGGGTTTTTTCAGGAAACACCTCAGGAAATTACACTTTAGTCTCTCAAAAGCAGAGAAATTAATGTGGAAAGAAGTAATGCTGCATCTAAATCCAGTGCTGTGCTTCTAAATTATTCTGGTATGGATATGGGCTTTAATAGGGGCAAAATAACTGTAGCCTTTCATATAGTAATTATTTTCCTTGCTTGCTTGAGGTAGTCATTACAATCTTGGATTTAAAGTAGGCCTGGCATCTCAGATTTATTAACCAGGAATGTAACTTGTGCCTCTGTAAATCACAGAATGGCCCCAAACCTCCCCAGAACACAGCCTTGTTTCCTGTTGAATCTGCATCACCTTGCCCCGGATGAGCACCTGTGCGAATGCCAGCATGGAGCCAGAGGAGTGTGCTGACAGGGTTTCCTTCGTGGCTGAACTTCTGTGTAATGCTGTTTTTTGGCTCTGACTTGCTGGGCAAGCCGAGGAGGGAAAGGGGGTTTAATTTCTCTTAGCGGTGGTGGGCAGCCGGGTAGTTGTGCCTCACCACTCACAGAAGAGCATCACTCCAGTGGAAAAGATCCTCTGGCAGTGGTGGGCTTGGACCCTCTCTGCCCAGGGACCCTCCTACTGCCTCAGCTGAGGTGCAGCACTAGCCCGTCCCTGTCCCCAGCAGATTTATGGAGTTTCCTCCCCCAAGGACCAGTTTGCCATGCCAAGGCCTGGGAGCATCCTGCCCACAGCTTCTGCCTGCGGGGGCCTGAACTCTGCCTGTCCCTGCTGCCTGAGGAACCCCTCCCAGACTCAGTGTTGGAGCTGAGAATTTTTTTTTTTCCTTACAGCTAAACATAGTCTAGTCCAAATAAAAAATACTTGTTTAGGTTTTGTAAAGAGACCTCAGGGTAAAAAGGGGAGATGGAGAGCATGGTCCCATGCCAAGGTCTGGATCTGAAAACAAGCCCCCAGCCCCACCTTCCCTCCCGTGCCTGGTTTCTGTCTGGGTGAGCAATATTGCGATGTGAGAATGAATGGAAGTGGTTTTTGGGGTGTGGAAGTGTTAGCCAGCAGAGCATTTCTTGAGGGAAAGCATTTAACTGGCTTTTAACTGTGTTGTGGTACTAAAAACATCATATATTACACTGTCATTAGTGGACAGCTTTTGCTCTTCAAATTAAACAAATAGTTTAAAGCTGCTGAAAATTACAACCAGATTTTCTTAAAAGAAGAATTGGGGAAACAAATGTGAAATCGCAGCTGCAGACCCAAGAGGCAGACTGACTGTTTCTCAAGACTCAGTTGCCCTTACCCTCTTGGAAAGGCTGACTGGGGGGGGCTTGAAGTCTGTACTGGGAATGCAGTTGGGGTCAGTGGTGTTCGCTGGAGCAGACTGCTGGGCTTTAATGAGGGACTGAGACCCCCACCCATCCGACTGCCCAACTGATTAATCGTTGCGCCAATGCTCACAGCCTTTTCTTTGGTAGGAGCTGGCCCAGCAGGAATGTTTGTTTAACAACTGTTTGCCTTCCGCAGGTCCCGTGGGGAATCAGGGAGCTCGTGAGGGATGGGGAGAACAATGATGGCACTCTGCCCACCCAGCCTGATTCATTAAACATGCTGCTCAGCCCGGATTTATCAGAAACCCAGGTTTTGCTGCTCAACGGGCTGGCTGCAGCACGGGATTGGCTCCTTGCTGTGAAGGATGGCCAAACCTGTGGCTGCTGGGCTGCTTTCTTTTTCTTTGGGCCTGAACTCTGATGGTACCCCGTTGTGAGCGTGTCTTTGTGACCCCGAATGCAGCCCCATGCAGCAGAGGCTGTGGGGAACAAACCAGTCCCTGTGGTGCTGGCAAGGGGCAGCTTGGAGGGTACATGCCCCCCAAAAGCTTTGGAACTCTTGGTAGTGCCTGAAAGGATATCTTGGTTCAAGTAAACAACGTGCAGGGTTTTGAAGACAACCTTGATAAATTTTGGCTTGAAGATGAACTTGACAAACTTTTAGGAGAAATGCTGGATGTCAGCCATTCTCGGGATAGCTCAAAAGGGATTTGGGCCAAAAAGCTTTTAGTGCAGAACTGACTCGCTCCAGTGGTTTCCTTCTGAAGGCTGTGTGGAAACTTGGGATTGTTTTTAATATTGTTGTCCTGAAGTGGATGGTCCAATAATAGGAGGAAGTTCAGAGTGTGTTTTCATCAAGCTGTGCCTGGAGAAGTTATGAAGTAGTTATTCAGGGTCCTTGGGGGAAGTGGAAAGAACAGGCCATAAAATAGCTCTAAAATCCAGTAGTTAACAGTGAAAACTTAGTGCTCTTTCTCAACATTATCTGTGCTAAGGCAACACAGTAAAGCATTTGACAGTAATGCTGCATGGTAGCAGCAGGAGAAACAACTTTTTATTATCCTTGACTTTGATTTTTTGTGTCAGGCTGAATTTTTTCCCTGATCTGTTCTCTGGACACATTTTATGATGTGCAGTTATAACTTTAAGCATTCTCTTGATCAAGGAGTAAAATCCCCCGAGATGTCTGGGCAGGTACTGAAACCTGCCACCGAGCAGTCCAGCTGTACTGTTAAAGGCAGGAGACTGCTTTTCTCTCTCGCTTTGAGCACAGACATTTTGCATTGGCAGCGCAGTCTGGTGCTGGGGTGGAACAAGGTGCTTGAGCTGCACATGCTGCTCTTGTAGCTCTGGTGTAAGTGTTCATAGTAAATTAAGTGTTATAGTAAATTAAGAATTTCTTCCATTAAGATCCTACTGTGTTAACTGTTCTACCAGTGCTCTGGCTGAACCAAGCCTGCACAGGCTGCATAGCATACACTGTCCTAATGTTCAATTGTACAGCACCAAGACTTTTCTCTCCGGTTGTCTGATACCACTGGCAATATCCTTATTTTGTGGGGCAGCGCCTGCATGCAGCCTGGGAGGAGCTGTCAGGGAATTCCAGTCTTGTTTCTGAAGTTCCTATTAGGATTTCTCACTTCTGTAAAAGCCATCTGCGCACCAGATCACTTCTGCAGCATCCTGCAGCGCTCTGACTCACTACACCTGAGCAACATCTTCTTCCACAGGGCAACAGCTCTCCCCCAGTAAACTCCTGGGTAGCAGTGCTGCCGTTGCACACACACCATAGACTGGGTGTTGGTGTCTGATACTGTAATGTGCAGCAATGTTAATGTGCGCTCAAAGAAGCAAGGAAGAAGCCCTGCTTCCATTAAATCATTCATCTATTGCTGTTGCAAGTCTTCAGGCTGGAATCTTGCCCTGCAATGCTGCTGTCTGGCTGGAAGTAGCTGAGGTGGAAGCTGACACTGAAGCTTTTACAGATGTGATGAGTTGTTCAGTGTTGTGCAAACATTTCTGTAGTTAAAAGGCCGTACTGAACCAGACTATGTACACTGAACAGTTAATTGCTTCTCTACTTTTTAAAAATTCAGTTTCAAATGCTGACCAAGTAAGAAACAAATCTAATGCAGCTGGATACTGGTCTTTAAAACGGGATGGCAGAGCGCCAACTGGCTGCCCCTTAGCTCTTCACACTACAATAGGAAAAATGCGTTGAGTGGGAAACTCCCTTCCCGTTAGCACCAGGCCAGAAGAAGTTAACTGTGCAGACCCTGCTGTCCTACGAGCACTAGTTCAGAGTGGGACAGAGCTCTCACAAGATCAGTTTATTCTGCTTCTAAGATAGTGTCTAGTGGCCAGCTGAGTAGGGGACTTTATATTGGATATTTTCTTGGCATTTAGTTTCCATGTCGCAGGGCATTGGTGACCAAGCACCTTCCCTTTACTGCAGAATCAGTAGTCGGGTAGAGTTGGTGGCTGTCAGTGTTGCCTACAGACTCAACTGCTATCTGACTCCACTTCCTGTATTAAGATTTTCGGTTTTAATTGATAAAAGGGGATCTTTTACTGTAAACTATGCTGCATGCAGCCCATGAGGGCTATGGGATGCTCTTGGTGCAGCCTCTGACCTGTTCCCTAGAGCTCTCCCTGTCCTGGCATGAGACAGTAGGAAGCTGCCTAGTCTTAGGTTTTGATGTTTATGGGATTCTGGTCTTTTCAGCAGCCTTGTTGTCATGATTATGTGGAATAGTGGCATTCTAATGCCAGCAAGGGAGGGTGTGTTGGGATCTGGGAGCAAACTAGTGAAGCAAGTCTTTGCTGTTTTGCTTTCCTGGGGAGTCTGTTTTGGTGGTGGTGTTTTTTTTTTAAAAAAAAAAAAAAAGCAAAACCAAAAAGCCTCCAACCTGTTTTCTGAGGATTAAATTATTAGCAATATAACCTGACTGCTTCATGCATCTGAGCCAGTTCAGCCTCTTCTTTCTGAAGCGTAAGTTGGAACAACTCAAAGGCAGAAGGGAGGGGAAAAAGGCACAGTTTCTGCCCTGGCTCTGTAAGACAAGTGGAGTATCTGTTTGCAGAGAAAGCTCACGCTTCCCTCAGCAGCCCAGAGTAACTACCAGTGCTCTCTCCTCCCAGGCCATGCAGTACATGGAGCTGATCCCGAAGGAGATGCAGCCGGTGGCGGGGACTGACGGGGCCTACTATCGCAGGCGGCAGCTGATGAGACAACTCCCGCTGTATGACCAGGACCCCTCGCAGTGCCGCGGCCTCGCCGAGGGCGAGCTGAAGCTGATGGAAGACTTCGTGAAGAAGTATAAAGCTGAAGCACTGGGCGTTGGGGAGGTGGCGCTGCCAGGCCAGGGTGGCAGCGGGAAGGAGGAGGGGAAGCCACAGGACAAGAGCATCACTGCTGCCAAACCCCCTGAGACCACCAACGGGGCCCTGGAGAGCGTGCCCACGGCAGGACACTACGTGAGTGCTGTAGGATGGGCTGGCAGGGGTGTCCCCGCTCTGTCTGGAGACTGGGGAGCTTCCAGGGGATGGATTCAGACTCAACTAGGTGAGGGGAAAAGGCTGCACCAGCCAGGGTTATCTGTTCCCTGTTCACAATAGTGCTCCCATGGGCTCCTCTGAGCCTGCTGCAGTGCTTCCCCAAACTCCCAGAGCAGTGCTGCGATGCTGAGCTGCATCTTGAGCACTGTGAAAGACCCTGGTGTGGGGCCACTCGTGTGCTGCTGCTGAGCACAAGTGCCCACTGAGCAAGAGTGAGGGTCATCTCCCTCCCCAGCGAAAGCTGTGCTGAACCATCAAGGTCAGTAAATTTTGTTACATTACCTGTAGGAGCCAGTGATTTCACCTTTGGATTCTTGGTAGCTCTGGAAGATTGGGCATGACACCTCCCTGGATGATTGTGCACCAGTCAGGTACTCAAGATCAGAAACTGTTTCACTATGAGCTAGTGAGCAGCGTTTCCAGCCAGGCTTCCGGAGCAGCACAAGTGCAAAGACCCCGATTGATGGGAGGTGGTGGCTCAGTCTAATTAGTTGAAAGCCATGAACATGGCGATAGTGCTCCCAGGGCTGTAATCTCCCTGGGGAACTTTGAACAGAGCATGCATGTTCCTGGGCATAGAAATACTTTTCCACAGGGAAGTTATTGAGATTCCCCAACACCCTTTTAGATTTATATTCTCCCAGTGCTGTCTGAAGTGGCCATTGTGGTTGCTGAACAAATGCTTATCATAAAATGACGAGTGAAAATATTTCGTACTGGCCCTTATGAGGGTGACTTGCAGCAGATGATTTAAAGCTGGGAAAAAAATGGTGCCTGAGTGTTTTTAACGCAAGATTTTTCTAGCCATCACTGCACTGAGATTGTTACATGTTCAGAGCAGTTTTCATTTTCATTCCATATTGGGTAATGTCTCCCCTCGGCTGTGGCCTTTTCTGTTTACGTGCATCTGACTTTCAGAGTTCGGTGATACAGTAAGAGTTTTTCACTGTTGCAACAAAATACTGAATTGGACAAAGAATTTTAAGCTAAAAAAAATAGCCAAAAAAAGGAAGGCTTCCATTAAACTCATTAATAAAAGTCATCTTGGCAATGAGGGTTTATTTAGACTGCAAGTTTGTCCTTCCAAGTAAATAACTGGGATGTTATTCTCCATACTTTAAATCATCATTTTTCTAGAGACACTAGCTGAAAAATGGAACCACTTCAAAAGCAGTTGCAAGAGATTCTCTTTGACCAGCACACTGTGCAGCTTGGCTCGCAGCAGACTTCAAGTGCTGTGGTTTCTTGCTGTGCTGAAGGGAGATCCCCCTCTACCAAAGCTCTGCCTCTTTTAATCTGATCTCCCATGCAGGAGTTAATGAGGGTGATCTGGTACCAATGGGCTGTGTTCCAACATCTGACATGTGCTAAACTTCCATGAAGTGTACCGGCTTTCGCAAAACTGCACTGGAAAGAACATTCTGCCTTAGAAAAATGAGGTACAGCACTTCATGTGAGGCTGGAAGATGTGAGCAGAATGAGCTATATGAAGACAGAGAATAGATGTAAAGGGACTGAGAAATGAAGTGCATGAAGCCAACAACACTGGAGGCTTTGATGTTGTCAGTGTATTCAGGGTTGAAATGTAGCTCAGCACCCTCCAGATGTGGAGGTTTAGGTACCCCTCTACTTGTGTAACCATCTCCTGTGTGTCTCCTAAAACTTGAGTGTTAAACATGATGCCTGGTCCCCTGCCTGAGCCTCCCACCCCCCGACCCCCATTGCTCTCTGGGTGCCACTCCAGGACACGCTGTCCTCACCTGGGAGTGTATTTGTCCCAAACCTCAAAGACCTGCAGGATGGCAGCAGGAAGGAGACTTTTGGGGAAGATATGAGTGTCTTTGGTTCATAGGTGCAGGGGGAAAATAGGGTGCTGAATAGCTTGTTTTGGAGATCCTGATTCCCAAGCAGTTTGTGTGATGTTTCTTTGAGTCCATTAGAAGTAGGACACAGATTTGAATCTATTGAACACCAAACCTCTTAACTGGCACCAGCAGCTTGATTTCACCCTATTTCAGATCAAGGTGTAAGTTTGAACTACAGATTTATGGATGTGGGGGGAAAATTAATAAAAAAACCCTTTGAAAACTCTTGCTCTAGAAGAGAAGGAACCCATAAGGCACCAAATCTGCACCAAGAAACAAGCTGGAGTGATTTCCTTGGGTGTCTGTGTGGTCCCAGTGCTAAGGTGGTTAAACCTCTTACTGCACACTCAGGCCAGCTGTGTTGAAATTGGTGTGTAAAGGAAAACATACAGGGCCAATGTAAATTGCCATGAGAGGCATCTGAACTCAAACAGCTCTTTGAACTTGTCTCGGCTGCAGAGAGGGGCCCCACCACTGTAATAAGTCTGTCCTATGTGCTGAATGTTCTCCACCGAGCATAAAATTGTCTTTAACCCCCTCAGAACTAGAAAGTCTTTTCATATTAGAAGCCACTGTGTTGGAATTAAATCAAATCCTGGAGCAGTTGATCAAAATTAGGCATTGTCTCAAAAAGCTTGAGGCTGATAATGTAGCGAGCACTCAGGGGAAGCCTTGTGGTGTCTGGGGAGCTCCTTCTGTGGGAGCTGTCACTGCAAAATAGCAGCCAATGGAGAGAGCAAGGTTGAAAAAGCTGAGGAGAAAGGGATACTGTCTTGGACAGCACCTCTGGTAACTTGGCTAATAAAGTCTTCACTCCTCCCTACCCAATGGAGATGTAAAATGAGTACCAAGCTCTAATCCCATCTTAAATTTGAAGAGCCACTTTTTATTTAATGTGTAAATGGCAGGGAGATGGAGGTTATATGATGCTTAGGAAAAGCTCTGTGGATAATTGCCACAGAAAGAAACAGCAAAATAAGTTGGTTTTTTTAGCAGTTCATATTGGCAAGAAACTTGAGCTTGGAGTTGGAAGGCTGCTCATGTTTGTTCTCACTGTTAGATCTTGCAAGATAAGCAAGGCTGGGATGGATGGGCCTGGCAGCTTCTCTGGGGGTGACAGCATGGAGGCAGCAGCAAGGTTGGGCTCTGGTGCCCAGAGTCACGCAAATTTTGTGCCTTGGGGGGGAGGTACTGGGAACACAGGGAAAAATACAGCCTTGATCCCATATGATGGGCACAGAATTCATTGTTGCCCACCTGCCCTTGCCAGCAGCCAGGCTGGTGTCCCAGGGGCAGCTTTACATCCTTGTGTTCTTGTTTGTACAGACCAGGAATAGCACAGCTTCTGCCCTGTGCTGCATTTGCTCCTTCACGGGTGTGGGTCTTGGGAGTGCTTGGAAACACGTCTGAAGCCCTTTGCAGTGGAAGGAGCAGTGTCAGCAGACATATCCCCTTTCAGACTTGCAGAAAAGCCAAGCCAGGAAACATTTTTTCTCCTCTTGCACTGCCTTCGTTTGTCATGCTGGATTTCCTGGTAAAATAGGAGATGCCCATCAGCGTGGTGGAACTGCTCCAGGGACTGTGGGGCAGTTACTGAAAATCCAGACTGAAGGAAGGAGGAGACAACAGCAGAGTGTGGTGTGCTTGAAATAATAGTAATTAAACAAAGCCAAGCCACTTGGTGGGTGTAGGCCTGTAGCCTTCTGCTGTGTAAAGGGAGAATTGAGTTAAAGAAAACTCCCTAAACACAAAGAAAAGTCTGTTTAGCATTTGTCCCTTAAGTGAGCCAAAGGGACTGGACATAGTGAGGAACTTGTCTTCAGTTTGACACTTAGAGAGCTCAAAGAAACCCCCCTTCACCCCCAAGAGGCCCTTTCTGCTGCTGCCTTACTGGGCTTGTACCAGGGAGGATCACGGCGGGTCCTGTGCTTCCAGCACAGGGTTTCCCAGGCTGTGGTGGCATTGGGATGGTGTTCCTCAGGTCATGGGCCACAGCTGCCCTGTAAAAAAAAAAAAAAAAAATCTCTGCCCCATCCTCAATGTCTTCCCTGCAGCTCAGGAGATGTTAGGTTACCTTCTACTGAGAAATCTTAGTATTGTGTCTCATCTCCCCCCCCATATTAGAAGCTTGTTGACTTCCATTGGAGTGTTTGTAAGCAAAGTCCATCATCTGAGCTCAGGAAAATTCCTGGCCCCGGACCCTGTGTTGTCTGGAGCGTGCTGGAGGGGGGACACAGCAGCTCAAACCACTGCACGCACGACCCGCCAGCTGCTTCACGCTGCATCTTGGTTTCATAAAAGTCTTAGCCAGGCTACTGCAGAGATTATTAGTACAAGTCTGGCCTTGCAGCCAAGGGCTCTGCTGGGAGAGGCCCCAGCCCCTACGCAAGAGCATTTCTTTTAAGGAGTGACAGAGCACAGCCTCAGAAGCTATTGGCCTGACCTGGACTGTCCAGACTTAAATGGAAACTTAAATAACAGCCCATCAACTTCAGGGAGGAGAGCTTAGAGCTTGCTCTTAACTAATCTCAGTACCACTCTGCAGGCATGTTAAAGAGTGAACTCAGTTGGTCTTAGGTGTAATAAGCATAGATGCTGATTAATCTTCAGGTTAGCCAAATCTAATTCTGTCTCTTTGGACAGGTATAAATTGGAAGCACTGTGCTGAACTCTCTAGAATGACATCTGTCTTATGTATAGATGCATATATTTAAAAACTGTAAGAAAAGAACAAAGTTCCTAATCTCTATGCAAAATACTGTCTTTGTGCTGTACTTCTGCACTGTAGGATGTCTTAACTCTTTCTTGAAGAGCACCTTTAGCGTTTAGTGAAGGTTGGTTTTAGGTTGGGGGGGTTTCCCAAAGGCCAGGCACTTAGCTGATGGTGCCTGGGGCTATTTTTACCTGTCTGAGGATCTGGCTGGAAGGGGGTAAACAGCATTCCAGGTAAATACTGGCAAATATATATATTTATAGTACCTTCTGCATTACAGCTTGACACTCTGTCCATACGTAGCACTGGTCCAAATGTTTGCACAGGATGTGGAGTGAGAGACCTTGGGATGTTGGTTCTTTTGGCTGTGGGTGCCCTGTGATGCCCTCTGTGTTGCCTGAGTCCTACTGCATGGCTGAGATTTTCCCAGAGCTTTTCTCAAGCTGCAGCCCTTGCTTTCTCTTCAGTTTAGCGTTTTCCTTGCTCTTCCACCTTGCTGCTCTGTGTCTACAGTCTCATTTCCAACTGTGTGTTTGCTGGCCCTCCCAGGCTGATACAGCTGTAAAATCTGGCTTTGGTATTTTCAAGTTTTCCCTCAGAACAAGAGCTCAAACAAAACCAACCTAAGCTGCACAGCTTAGTGGTCCTGGAATTGTTTTATTTCCACTGTCTTCCTTGATGTTATGGGTTGTCAAGCAGGAACATAGTAGGTCCTTCAGGCTTTGCAGAAGTGGGGGAAGCATTGAGGTTGTGCTTGGAGATTGTAGTGTTGTGTTTTGCTAATTGTGCTTTTTACCAGCTGTACAGTGAAGAAAGATGCATTGCAAAGATCATGGAATGATTTGGGTTGGAAGGGACCTTAAATATCATTTATCCCCTTCCCCTGCCACAGGCAGGGACATCTTCCACTAGACCAGGTTGCTCAAAGCCCCATCCAGCTTGGCCTTGAACCCTTCCAGGGATGGCAATGGTGCCACGAATTGATATGAGAAGTAAATATCCATCCCATGCACTGAACATCGGGGCTCTGTTCCCACTTGGCCCCGCACTCACCCTGCTGCCTCTGTCTTGCAGCACTGCGAAACCTGCAAGCAGGCGGTGCCAGGGGATTGCCCAGTGGTGTACGCTGACAGGGCTGGCTACTCCCACCAGTGGCACCCGGCCTGCTTCGTCTGCTGCTGCTGTGCCGAGCCCCTCGTCGACCTCATCTACTTCTGGAAGAGCGGGGCAGCCTGGTGCGGGCGCCACTACTGTGAGAGCCTCCGGCCACGCTGCGCCGGCTGCGACGAGGTAGGGACCGCCTGCTTTTCCCCACTAAATTCGGGGTTTTTCTGGCCCAAACCTGCTCGCCTGCCTGCACCTCCCGGGATGCAGCATCCTCCTGGTGCTGGGCCCCAGGGCTGTGGCTGCTCTGGGGAGATGGAGGTGCCTGAAAATGGGGTGAAGTGGTGTGATGTTAAAGACAGCCTCGGCTGGCTGCACCAGATCTATCTCAGAACAACAATCCAGCTCTGGCTGCATTTAAAACCTGATGGTTTTATAGTGCATAATTGCAGCTTGTGACTGGCTTATTTGCACAGGAGCACTCCTGTGTCTTTTATTGACCCATTCCTGAAGCATGGCCTCCACAGCTGGGGGGCTTGGTGGGGGGCATGGGGCTGGGTCTTCCCTGCTCCTGCTGTGCTCTGGCTTGGCGAGACAGTGGAAACAAGAATCTGTCTGTCCCATAGATCATCTTCTCGGAGGACTACCAGCAGGCAGAAGGGATGGCCTGGCACAAGAAGCACTTTGCCTGCCTGGAGTGTGAGACACTGCTGACCGGCAAACCCTTCACTCTGGACAAGGCCAGCCTCCTGTGCACAACCTGCAGCAAAAGCAAACGCCTCTGAGTGGGGAGCAGCCCGGGGGAAAACCAGGCTCCCCGAGGTCCCACCAGAACTGGGGTCATTTGACAAGCACGTGAGAAAGGGGAAGGTAAAAAATATTAGAGCCTGGCCATTCACTCTCAAGCAACTCAGTGTCCCCTTGCATCCAATACAACTTGCAGGAGAATATTTCTGTGGGAGGAAGCAAAGGGAGCTCACACACCTGTGGGTGGGAGGTACATGGCATGTCTGAAGAGGAGGGACTGAAAAGGAGGTTCTGTGTTCTGCTGGTTTTTTATAAAGTCTCTCCAAGCTTCTTGTGACTCAGATCTTGTAACAGTCTTTTGGAAATAACACATCTCAAAAGTAACTTTTGGCATACTATACCTCCGGTCACAGTCAAAAACAAGTGTTGTTCATATTTGTTGAAATCCATGCTGGAAGTTTACACTACCAGGCTGCTGACAAGGTACTAAAGCAATGGGTTTGAAAAATCGGATTAACCAGAGTGATTACTTTCTGAAAGCAAATGGTATAAAATTGCAGCAACATGTAGCTGTAGCTTTCTCCTAAGTGTACCATAATGTAAAAATAACAAGATGGGCACAAAGGGCGATGGGTTTAACCCTGGTGAGATGAGAATGGTGCAGCTCTGCCCTGGAACAGCCGTCTGCCTCAATCTAGATGAGCTTTAGCCCTAAAACCAGGATGCAGAAGCACTGCTGGCGTGTCCCCCGGCCGGGCTCCCCAGCCTCCCACTGCCCGCTGCTCCAGGCGAGCGCGGTTCCACAGAGCGGCATTGTGCTCTGACAACAATGCTGGAGGTCATTAAGCATTTAGAGTGTGAGTCTTTATTTCAGCTGGGTTAGACCAGGAATTTTATGGAAAACGGCTTTCCAGCCAAAGCTGTCTTGGGGCAGGGGGTTGTGCCTGAATGCTGCAATACCCATTTTTCTTTGTACTATGTCAGTGATCCCTTCCAAGTACCAGGGAACCATCCCTTCCCCTTGGAGCTGGCAGCACCCACAGTTTGCCTGTCCCCAGGGCAGGTCCCAGTCACCTCCTGGTTCTGGAAGGGGTGACAGCATCCCAGGATCCAGCACTGAGTCTCTGCAGATAGTATTTGTTCCCTACATCAAGCGATGCTTCTGGTAGTCACTGAAAATATCAGATAGTCCAGGCTGGCAGATGTCTGTGCGCTCGGTCCTTTTTTGTGTATTAAATGTCTGTGTTATTGCCAGAGAACTGGAATTTTTTTTTTCGTAATTGAGTGTGCAAGGAGCTCACAATTGCTGGGTTTTCTTTCTGCTATAGAAGATGCTGGTTTCTCTCTAAAGCATGCTCCATGCTGCAGGTGTTTGCTTGCTTATGATAAAATAACTTGCAGTTGGGGGAAACTGTACCTGCTGCAGGGATAAGAGCTCGTGAGACCAATGAGGTGTAAAGACATATCTGAAGGGGGGGACAGTCTCTATGCTTTGTCCAGCCCTGTGCTGATGCGTGGTTGCTATTACTGGAAACGCTGGAGTAATTAAAGAGAATAAACAAAGTGCTGCCCCTGGAGCAGAGCAGGAACAGCCTGAAGTGGCAGCGATGGTTGTGGCGGTGGGGTGATGGGTGTGCGTGGCAGGGTGTCGTGGGGCACATGCTCCCGGGGTCGTTGGCCCACCCAGGTTCATCAGGGGTGCAGTAAGTGCCTGGGGGTGCCACTTCTGTAAACTTGGTCAGATGCTGCAGGTCAAGAGAGGATGTGTAGGCCTGATGCTGTGCTGGGAATAATAAAGCTCCTGTGGATACAGGCACTTTGGTAATAAGCCAAGTGGGAATGAAAAATAAAGCCCAGTGCTTAGCTTTATTGCCTCTTCTTAGTTTTGTTATAAGGGGAATGTCTTACATGTTTTAAAAAAAAAATGACGAAGACGTTTTTCTAAACCCTGTGATGTTAAGGCAGTACACTCAGTGTAAGCAGCAATAGGAACAGTGTGAAGCACCATTTAGGCATAAGCATTACCATCCAAACAGCATTCCCTGATGGAAAGTCAGTGTCCACGTGCGAACACAGCTGGTTACCTCTTGGAGTGATTTGCCTGTGTGGTATATGCACAGCCATTACACAGGTGTCTGGAAGAAAATTAAACGCAAACAAAAAAAAAGACCAACAAAACACTGAGCTTTTAAAAGGGAAAGACTATATTAACTAAACAGAAAACTCAGCAGTGTGCCACTGTTTTCTGCCTGGATGTTTCTGGTTGGGTTTGCCTTGGCTGGTGGCATAGTCCGTGCAGGGTTTGTGATGCAGCGAGCACAGGGGAGGGCTGTGCTGGGCCCCTGCCCCTTCACTGGCCCTGCCTGAATGGGGGTGCTGGCCCTCCCGCAGCAGCTGCCTGCCTTCCCTGGCTGAGTGACAAATCCTGGTGCTGGGGGGGCCCTGTCAGCTAGCTTGAGGTGTGTGGCCTGCATTGAGGCTGGAGGAGACATCAGTGGGTGTCTTGAGCACGTCCCCAGGCTGGAGGGTGCTTGTCTCCACCTCAAAAAACGTCTCTTAATAAACCTGAGGGTTAGGGACCCCCATCCTGTGCCTCTCTGTGTGGAGAGGGGTGGCAATGCTCCCAGCTCCCCATGGTGGCACACGTGCTGCACCTGTGGGGCAGCTCCCGCATGTAAACCTGTCAGAGGTGGGATTTCCAGGGGACCTCTTTTCTCATGGGGTCCTCTCCTCTGCTTGGGGAGGTGTATGGGGAAAGGGCATCCCCCTTCCACCACACCAACAGAGACTCAAAGGATGGCAGTGGAGAAGAGGTGGGTCTTGTTTTCGCTGCTGCAGAGGAATGTGCGTGGTGGGGGCTTGGGTAAATGTCAGAGCGGAGGCGTGGGGAGAGGCTGGGGTTTTGGGGGGAGCACTGGCACCCCAGCGCAGCAGCAGGGAGAGGCCCTGCCTCCACGTCCAGCACCGCTGCGCTGCCCACCGCGGTGATGGGTGCCCTCCCCTCGTCCCCAGCCCTTGGTCCAGGCGCCTGGGGGGCCGCCCTGGGTCACCCCCACCACCTGCCCTGTGGTGGGATGGTTTCCAAGTGAGAGAGCAGGTCAAGTCCGCTTTAGGTACTAGCATTGTCCTTGATAGCACCTTTGGGCTTTTTACAGGATTGTGCCAGCAGCCCACACATAGTAGCAGCAGTTTTTGAACAGCCTGTTTCTGTTAACGCAACCCTCTGTCATAAAAGCCTTCACTTGATTATTTGGGAAAAAGATATCACCGTAGCATGTTCTGGATTTTGATTTTGTGATTTATAAATTGTAATTCTCCTCCTCCAAAGTTCCTGTTTCAGCATGCACATGCTTGCTTCGGGCTTTTTGGACCACTGGCGTCCACTTGAGCCTTTCTGCAGCTTGTAAAATACTGTCTGTTAAATTTACTACAATTAAACAGCTTAACAGAATCCCATTGTTGCAGTTGAAAGTATTGACACAGTAATGATTTAGAAAAATAATCTAGATTTTATTAATAACTAACAACTATTTGTCAATACAAAATAACTCAGGCTCTAAAATGACAATATTCACTCTAACTTACTTAACGGTACCTTAATTTATACACATCTGTACATGCGCATACACAAACCAGACATATACATACAGGAACAAAGGGGTTTGGATTCGGTAAAATGAACACAAAAGGGACAAGCACACAGGAACAAGGGCAAGGGTACGTACCCACCCCCCACCCCCCAATAAACAGATGAAATAGCAGCTAGCTCAAAGAAAATTTCCCTCTCGAGTTTAGACCAAATACTCCCAATGCCTTGGCATTCCTCAACGGACAATAACTGAGACTCGAGTGGGGGGACTTTGCCCCGGCCTTCCATCTGGAGCAGACGGTACCCGAGAGGCGTCCCAGCTCAGGGGAGATGCTGGTCACAGGCCCGCTGCCATCCAGGAGAGCTCAAAGGGTCTCTCTGGTGGTCGCAGTTTATAGGGTTCAAGATAATTGACTTTTGTCAAATACTATCTGGTGCCTTCGGGCAGTTGCACAAGAATTTGAATAACATGCAACCCTGTTATTGTTCCATCTGATCACATCCCAGGCACAGGTGTGTCAGGCCATCAGGAGATGATGGGCCATTATAACCTTTTCCAAGCAACTGGGAGGGGCAGGAGCCAGGCTCCTCAAGGTTATCAGTCCTTATCTCCACAGATTGGTGTATGGCCTGGGCGAATGTGGATGGAATCACACCTGGCACCAAGCAGCCCAACAAGGAGGGCAGGGAGGGGTAAGAATTGCACCACCACACCCATGCCTCTCGCATGTCAGGAGCAAAAGCGTGAAATTAATGCATCTAACATTAAAAGATATGTGAGTCTTTAGTTTTGATATTAAAATTGAAATTCAGTGTAAGCATGATAAGCTATTCACCCCAAGTGAAGACATTACACTGGGTTTTGCTATGGTTTATCATCTAGAACGAAGGAGGCTGCTGCAGCTGCCTTATGTGGGTCATGGACTCTGGGTTTCAAGACAGTTGGGTTGACAGGGGTGTGCTGGGCTGGCTAATACAGAGTCACCAGCCAGCAATATACAGAGTCTCTGTCCAGAAAATTGATAAAAATCTAGGTGTTTTCACAGGGTTACTATGTATGACAGGGTGTTTCACAGCATTACTGTGTGCGACAGGAATCGACTAAGGGCAAAGACTGTTGTGTCGCTATTTGAAAAGCATCTTGTGCTGCAGTGTCCAATCTGTGGTTGCCCATAAAAGCTCCTGTACCAAGACTGGCAGTGTGCGTGTCCTTTAGCTGGCCCAGGCCAGGTGAGTGGGTCCCTGCACAGCACAGCCCTCCAGCCCCCCAGTGATCACCATGACCTCGACCTCCTCTTCCTCCCCCCCCAGCAAGGGTCTCTGATTACTGACCCCACTTACAGGTTCACCTCATGGTGTTTAATGTCCCTGTGCCTCAGCAGCAGCGTTGCAGCCACCTGGAATGCTGCTGCTGCAGGACAACACCGTGGGCTCATCTCCTTACGCTGCTATTTGGAACATACCAGACCCTGGCTGCCCTCCCCGGGGAGGGGGCAGGGCTGAGAGGTGTCAGTGCCATGGGGCTGGTAACGTTTTCTGTGCTGCTGTACATGGAGGTTGGTGCAGCTGCGTGGGACCTGCCTTTTGAATGCTGCCACGAGGGTCCTGCACGGATGGCGCAAAGTGCTGGCGTCTGCCCCTCAGAGCAGTCCCTAAGAGATGAACTTCTCACAGGGTGGGCTTTTAGTATTGATCTAGCTCGTCCATGAAAGCGTAGGGATAAATTGTCTGACAGTCAATTTAGCAGCATGTACTTCAGCGACTGATACCAGTATTTGAAGTGGGGAATCCGCAAAAGACAAAGCTCTTAATTTCCCCCCATCAATGGGCAAAGAGGGCGAGCATGAGGACTTTGTGCCTCCTGCATGAGCATTCAGCTCCAGTTTAAACTCCAATGTTCTGTATATTTGTTCTAAATATGACTGACAATATGTGAAAATGTTCCTAAAACTTTAAATAAACCATTTCTGAATATGAAAGACCCTCCGAAGTCTGGCTTTGGTTCCGTTGCAAGTCTCGGGGCCGGTGTGCTGCCTGAGGGAAGGGCAGGAGCACTGGAGCTGCAGTGGGGTGAGGAGGAAGGTCAGAGATGCTGCAGCTTTTCAAGGCCATAGCCTCCTCCATCCCCGTGGCTGAAACACTGGCTTGTGGTGGTAAAATGGGCTCCAACGGAGCCAAAGGCCAGGGGTGCACAGTGGGATGAGGGAGCCCTGCCCGTGCCAGCGAGGAGCCGACTACGCGTTGTGGGGAAACCTTCCCACTTGACTGCAAAATCTGTGAATACTTAAATATTTCTACTGGGATAAAATTAACTCATTGCTCAGTGCCGTTACTTATTTGAGGTTAATTATTTAACAGGCTTAGTGAGTGCAATTACCCCTAGTATTTCCTCAAGATGGTCAAGGAGAGGAAACACTTTGAAAATAAACTCTTTAATGAAGGAGGAGTGAATA